AGCGCATGCGCAGGCTTTCTGAGAGAGAGAGAGAGAGCCCCTCCCCTCGAATAAAGAGAGTTCCTGCTTCCAGCCAAGAGAGTGCACGCATCTTTTCATCCCCAGCCCCTCCACTGTGTTCCTGAACCCCGTCGGCCTGCAGGCAGGACCAGCACTGAGTAATATTCCATTGTAGATATATACCACATTTTCTTGATCCAATCACCTATTTTTGGGAATTTGGGTTGTTTCCATAGCTTAGCTATTGTGAATAGTGCTGCCATAAACAGGGATGCAGGTTCCCTTTGGAATTAATGTTTCTGTGTCCTTTGGGTAAATACCTAGGAGTGGAATTGCTGGATCATATGGAAGCTCTATCTTTAGTAGGTCAAGAAATCTCCACACAGCTTTCCATAGTGGTTGGACCGGTGTGCCCTCCCACCAGCAGCACAGGAGAGTTCCTTTTTCTCCACAACCTCATCAACAATTGTTGTTGCTAGTTTTTTTAATATATGCCATTCTCACTGGTGTGAGATGGTATCTCATTGTAGTTTTGATTTGCATTTCCCTGATTGCAAGTGATGTTTTACATTTTTTCGTATGCCTGGTGGCCATTTGTATTTCCTCTTTGGAGAAGTTTCTTTTTAGCTCTTCTGCCCATTTTTTGACAGGATTATTTTCTTTGTTTTTGTTGACTCTCATCAGCTTTTTGTAGATTTTTGTGTTCAGTCCTTTATCATTAGTGTTGTGTGGAAAAATTTTCCCCCAGTCAGTGGGCTTTCTCTTTGTTTTTGTTATTGTGTCTTTTGCTGTGCAGAAGATCTTTAATTTGATGTAGTCCCAGCTATTTATCTTTGCCTTCACTATCACTGCTTTGGGCCATGTGTCTATAAAGATGTCTTTGAAGTGCGTGTTGTGTAGTGTTTCACCTATATTTTCTTCTATGTATTTTATGGTTTCAGGTCTTATGTCTAGTTCTTTAATCCATTTTGAGTTGGTTTTTGTGCATGGGGTGAGGTAATAGTCAAACTTCATTCTTTTGCATGTAGCGACCCAGTTTTCCCAGCACCATATATTGAATAAACTTTCTTTGTTCCAGTACATATTCTTTGCTCCTTTGTCAAAGATTAGTTGACCATAAATCTGTGGGTTTATTTCTGGATTTTCTATTTGATCCCATTGGTCTGTGTGTCTGTTCTTGTTCCAATACTGTGCATTTTTGATGTATAGTTTGAAGCAGTTTTGTAGCATAGTTTGAAGTCTGGGAGTGTGATGCCTCCATTCCCTTCTTTTTTTTCAGGAGAGCTTTGGCTATTCGGGGTTTGGTACTTCCATATGAATTTTATCAATAATGTTCTATTTCTTTGAAGAATGTCATTGAAATTTTTATTGGAATACCATTGAATCTGTAAGTTGCTTTTGGTAGGATGGCCATTTTAATAATGTTTATTCTTCCAATCCATGAGCAGGGGATGTCTTCCCATTTCCTTGTGTCTTCTTCTATTTTTTTAACAGTGTTTTATAGTTTTCTTTGTATAGGTCCTTTACCAAGCTCTAAATAAGGATCTAGAGTTCATGGGCTTAACAGAAATCTATGAAACACTAAACCCAAAAAAATCTGAGTACACATTTTTCTCAAGCACCCACGGATCATTCTCCAGGATCAGTCACATACTGGGACACAAGATAAACGTCAACAAATACACCAAGATTGAAATCATACCAACCATCTTCTCTGACCATGAAGGCATTAAAATGGAAATAAATCATAAAAAGAAGGTAAGGAACTCTCCTACTGCATGGAGATTGAAACCCACACTACTGGAAGACCACTGGACTAATGAGGAGATCAAAGAAGAAATTAAAAAATACTTTGAATTGAATGACAAGCAGGACACCAATTTCCTAAATGTATGGGATGCAGCAAAAGCAGTAATAAGAGGGAAATATATAGCAATAGAGGCTCAAATCAAGAAACAAGAAAGATCTCAAAGAAACAACCTAATCTCAAAGCTCAAAGAACTAGAAAAACAACAACAACAAAACCCCAAAACCAGCAGAAGAAAAGAAATAATAAAAATCAAAGCAGAAATAAATGAAATCGAAACTAAAAAAACAATCCAAAAGATCAATGAAAAAGCTGGGGTCAAAATGGGGGGGTTGCAATTGTATGGGGAATATAAAAATAAAATCTATTATTTAAAAAAAAGAGCCAATAAAAAATTAAAGCAGAAAAAAAATAAAAAAATAAAAATAAAAAAAAAGATCTGGAACAAGACAAGATGTCCACTCTCACCACTGCTTTTCAATATAATGCTAGAAGTCCTAGCCAGAGCAATAAGACAAGAGAAAGACATACAAGGAATCCAAATAGGGAAGGAAGAAGTTAAACTATCACTATTTGCAGATGATATGATGATATACATAGAGAACCCCAAAAACTCCACAGAAAAACTAATTAAACTAATCAATCAGTTTAGTGAAGTGGCAGGTACAAAATCAACACACAAAAATCAGTAGTCTTCCTATACACAAACAATAAATCTAAAGAAGAAGAAATCAAAAAAAACATTCCTTTTATTATTGAAACAAAAAAATCTTAATGTTAATTGTACTAATTCTTATTTTTGTGTATCTGTTGCTTTGCATACTCTTCTACAAAAATAAATGAACAGGCGAGTGGGAGCAAAAACAACTGAATGCTGCCGCCATATTCACTGTCAAGGCTGCATTAAAAAGCAAAAAAGGGGGCCTCCCTGGTGGCACAAGAGGTTAAGACACAACCTATGAAGCTATCTGCAGCCACTGGAGCAAGAGTTCAATCCCCGGCCAGGGAGCTACCCACATGGCACAGCAGACCTCTCTTGACTTGCCTGCTGCTTCCCTCAGCAGTGTATTTCAGTCAGTCTGCCTGTTCTGTTCCCCACTCTGTCTATGGTGACTCCTCTCACCCTCCACACCTCTGGCCTGTACTCCAGTTCTTGTATGCATAAATTAATAAATCTTTTTTAAAAAAAAGAGGGGGGAGATGTTGGAGAACCCTAAGGCATGCAGCACTGAGACAAGGAAGACATCAAGGTTCTGGCTGTAAAGATGGAGATGTTCTTTCTTGTGTCTGGGAAACTGTGTTTGGGGGATGGACTAGATTAGAAAAAGAAACAGAATAACGTGATAGTGTGAAACCTTGGTGGTGAATGTGTGCCTGGACCAGGCCAAATGCTAAGAGAATACTTTATTGTCTAGTAACTAACCTGAGGGAAGGGGGCTGCTTGTATCAATAAAAACGAGCTGCACAGGGCACTCAGGACACTTGAGAACAAATGAGAGGTCTTGCATCCCCTGGATCCCACCTCCCTTAAACCCTATTTCGTGTCCGTCATTTCTTGATAATTTCCTGGGTTCAATCAGTTTCCTCTCTGGAGTCCAGCACATGTGTATGAGTAAATTCATTAGATCTTCTAAATATGTTATACATATGTTAGATATCCCAAAATACAAGTAACTTGAAGAAACTAATTTTGCCTTCCATTTCTTTTAAATACCCACAGCATTTGACACAAAGGACACTCTAAAATAAGTCAGCTTTTAAAAATATCATATTCTATGAATCAAATAGGAAGCATGACTTTTCATAGAAAAGGACATCAGAATAACCCTGGTGGCACAATGGGTTAAGACACAGCACTATGAAGCAATGTGCAGCCACTGAAGCACGAGTTCGATCCCCCAGCCAGGCGAGAAGCAACCCACATGGGGCAGCAAGACCTCTCCTGACCCACTGCTCCCCTCAGCACTGAATTTCAGTATATCTGCCTGCTCTGTTCCCCACTCTGTCTCTGGTGAATCCTCTCACCCCCACACTTCTGGCTTGTACCCCAGCTCTTGTATGCATAAATACATAAATCTTAAAAAAAATCAGAATAAAACTGAATTCATGGATGTCAATTTTTAATAATCTACTGTTACTGTCCTTCAAATCACTCTATGATGCACTCAAAGCCCACACTTTTTTTAAAAGATTTATTTATTTATTTTATACAAGAACCATGGTTCAGGCCAGATTTGCGGGAGACTGAGAGGATTCACCAGAGAAAGAGCGGGGAACAGGCAGACTGACGAAATACACTACTGAGGGGAGCAGCAGGCATGTTAGGAGAGATCTGCCTTGCCATGTGGGAACCTCGCCAGCCGGCCAGGATTAAACTGGCACTGCAGAGGCTGCAAACAGATTGACAGAGCTGAGCTCAACCACCTGAGCCACCAGGGGAGGCCCCAAAGCCTATATTTTTAAGGATAGTTTTCTTAGTGCATTTGAGTTTTCAGAGAAATGGATTATGTACTCTTCTGGAAAATTTGGCTAGACCATACTATCCATATATTTGGTCAAATACTACTGTAGAATTGCTGTGAGGTTGATTTTTAGATGAAATTAACATTTAAATCAGTAGACTTTGAACAACACAAATTTCCTTCCATAATCTGGGTCTCATTAATTCAGCTGAAAGTCTTAAGATTAAAAAAAAAAAAAAACTGGTCTCCTTCAAGGTAGAGGGAATTCAGCTGCCAGATCAGCTTCAAACTTGAAATACAACATCAACTCTTCCCTGGGTTTCCAGCCTGCCTGACTACCCTGAAGGCTGCACTTTCCAACTTCCAAAATCACATGAGGCTATTCCTTAAAATACATACATATTGACATACATAAATATATGCACACACACATACACACATCCTGGTGGTTATTTTCCTGGAGGACTGAGGAAAAAAGCATGGTAACAGGAGAAATCTCTATTAAGTCCCCACATTTATCTGAGGAATAAGTTTCACCAACTTTCTCCTTTGAGAATGTAATATAGTTGAGCTCTTAATAATACCCCTCTTAAAATTCCTTCCCTGCTTTCCCTTATAGAGACCATGGGGAAAACAAGCCAGAAATCAAGCAAAGAACAGAGAATATTCTGAACTAGGTAGGACTTCCCAAATAGCCCTAGTTGTCTACTGTCATTGTTATTTCTACCTACCTGGCAGCAACCTTAGGTATCGGCTTCTCATGGTGCAGGGACCAGCAAGCCCAGCCAAGGAGACGTCTGATTATGGTCTGTATCTGAAAAAGACTTCCTGTTTTAAGTGTGATTTGTGCCTTCCGTTTCTTAGGAAACTGCTTATCTGATACGCTCTTCCTCCTAACCTTTACCCAATGTTAACTTCTCCAAAACTCAGGGTTTTTTTAAGTATTTGCATAGTATTGCTAGTATTAGTACTGAAAAACTTCTTGAGGTTGTATTTTATCTTGTTATCTAAAATGCTACACTGTGTGTTGAAAGATCTCCCCAACATAAAAA